GTCACCCCTTGGCCAACCTACATGCAAACCATCTCAGGGGGCTGCACTAACTTAGTGGGCATCTTACAGAATTTTCTCCCAAGTTCATAAACTTATATCTGGCTTCCAACTCCAGTTCTGCCCTTGCTCTTCCCAAAACCAGGGCAAGTTCCTTCACCCCTCTAGGTCTCATTTCCTGTGTATAAGATTGGATACATTCAGAATACTTCTCCAGTTGGGTTGTTGTGAGGAGTCAGTGAGGTTGGGCATATAAAGAACACAGCAGAGAGCCCAGCATGTAGTAATCACTCAATAAATGTCGGCAATTGTTAATAGCATTGATCATAGGAGGGAGCAGAGTTTGAAAAGTAATTCTTCGTTCTTTATCTGTTTGTGATCTGGCTATTAAGGAATTAAGTCAAATCTTAGTGTTTAACTAACTTCCTCCTTTCTGAGCCAAAGCAGTTCATTTTTACTCGTAATCTCATCCACCTGCCATGTTTTCAATGAGAGATGATTTATTCCTCTTATTGCAAAAGATACTTATTCCAGCAAGAATAATCAATCTCACAGAGAAGAGTCAACTTGTCATGGCTTCCAAATTCTCTCTGAGGTCCTGCCTTGTACTTCCTTAGTCTTGCCATTGCTGCCTCATCATCAGTGGGCCTGACACCCCACCAATTAAAAGCAAGCCTCCAAGAGAGGCCAGGGGCCTCTTCTCACTGTTTCTGTGGGTCAGGAGTTTGGATGTAGCTTGACTGGGTTATCTGCTCGGGGCACACGAATGCTGACAAGATGAAAACAGATGGGCGTCTTTCTGGGATCAGCATGGAGCACAATGTGAAACCAGATGAGACAGTAGCCCTAGCACAGACAATAGTCACACCAGCCTTGGCAAGGGTCCCCAGCACCTGGCCATAGACATCGGAGCAGAAAGCTGGAGCCCAACAAGAGTAAACACTTTGTGGAGTCAGAGGGTCAGAGTCCACATGTCCATAGGAGCTGACCCCTGGGACTTCAAAAAATAACCAAGGTGAGCTCCTTGGTGGGGAATCCTAGACAGTAGGACAGGGATGGGAACCTTTTTTCTGCCAATGGCCTTTTGGATATTTTCAACTTCATTCTTGGGCCATACAAAATTATCATCTTAAAAATTAGCCTGCTATATTTGGTCAGACATTTAATTAACTCATCGCTAATGCCTTGGCAGGGCCAGACCAAATGACTTCTCAGGCCCTATATGGCCTGCGGGCTAGATGTTCCCCACCCCTGTAGTAGGGTGAGACAGGTGCAAGGTGAGCATAATGTATCTGTAAACATTTCTTGATGGTTGACAGCATGGAGGGTGTGATGAGGAGGGTGTGGTCCTCCCCAAAGGCTGAAGTCTCTGAGGACTTAGGAATATGACACAGTTTTCTCTCTAATGGTATCAGAAGTCCCTACAGTACAGGATCCACCTTGTCTCCTGGTGTGATGTTGTACACTAGACCCCTGGTGAAGACTATGGATGGAGAGAAAGACAAGGTGGTCTTTCGTAGTAATTTTAATACAAACAAGCTTGTCCTTCACCCTCGTGGCTGTGTCCTTTGGCCGGAAGCTGCTTTTCTGCAGGGTCTGCTGAGGGCCAAGTCTACAGTTCAAGCTTCAGCCAGCCGCCTTCCTCCTCATCACACCACAGCCAGGGCCCACATCAGACTTCTGGGAAGGACCCCCTCAAAGCCCTCTCAGACTGAACCCACTCCCCAAGTTCTGGGTGAGCAATCAACCCAGGAAATGTGGGAGAGGGGAAAGCATCCAGGTATGCATGGACCACTTCCAAAATACTCAATGACACCATTTAAACCACTAGGTGGTGGCTTAGTTCATTACATGGCAATTGATGACTAATACACTTTCTACCTACGGTGTGTGCCCCCATTCCAGAAAACACCATCCTCAAGAATAGCATTTAAGGCACCATTCCATGGGGTGGGAATGGGAGGGGGGGGGTGATGGTGAAAAGTACAAGAACACCCTGGGGAGGGGAACTAGAGGAGAAATCAAAAGCCTTTGGTTTTGTTTCCAACTCTATCAAGACCCAGCAGCTGTGGGAGCTGGGTGAGATCATTTCCTCTTCTGTGAAGTGGAATTAATGATAAATGCCATTCTTACATCACACTGTTATTATGAGACTCAAATTACAGAACCCGAGTGAAAGCTTTGTAATATGTGAGGTTATAGACCAAGTAAGGGTTAGAGTCATCAGCATTATCACCATCATACCATCATCATCATCATCATCATCTTCATTGCTGCCGGTTACAAGGTAAAAACAAACAAGAGTGTGACTGTATCAGTCAAAGTCCAACCAAGTAAACGGAAACCACTCTACGTCAGTGATGCTCTGCCGGGGTGCCGTGGCCCAGCAGTGCGCTGCAAGAATGTTTAAAATGTGTGATACCTGACTATTTAGTCAGCAGCACGGACTTCTTTTTCCTTAGGTTGTCAAGTAAAAAATGTCAATAGCCATCTGATGTGAATGAATCAAAATTATATCTATTTTTCATAAGATTGGAAAAATATCTGTACTTTGGTATGCCCCTGAATTCCAGTGATTGGTTTATGAGTGCCGTAAGATGGAAGAGGCTGAAAACCACTGCTCTGTGTGTTAGAAATGGGGACATTAGCATGGGGAATGGGTAGCGCAGGTGATGGAAAGGCTAGAAAGATAAAAAGAAGAAAATGAGGCAGCCCAGAGGTTAGCGATGGCAGGAAGCCACCGCCACCCCTTCGCTGGAGGGACAAAGGCAGGAGGCAGGACCGTGGGAACCCAAGGCCTGGGGTCCCCCTCTGAGAAGGGGATCCAGAGCTGAGGAGGAAATGCGACCTGTGCCAGACACAGGCCGAGGGGAAGAGAAAGCACAGTTTCCCTTTCCTGGCACCCTTCAAAATGGTCCAGTGCCCCCTCGGCTGCACCTAGCCAGGAGTGAGTTGATGTGGAAGTGACAGTGGATCTGAAGACAGCGAGCCCTGGGCCAAAGAAGCACTGCATTTAGCAATAATAATCTAGAAATGAGAGGAACATGACAGATTCCCACAGCACATGGGCGCTCAGCTGGTCCCACCCGCGTTCGTCACGCGAGGCTCCAAGAGGAAACTGATGGGACACCCAGGTTCGTGACCCAGCTGGCCAGGGCCAGCGAGGACCCAGGCCTCTGAATGTGGTGCGGAGCTCATTTCGCAGCATTAACTTACAGTGGCTGGCACAGGCCCTTCTGCTCCGGAGAGGGACGTATCCCAATAGTTGGGATCCGAGACAGTTGTTTGGACCTTAGACCTCCTTTCCCCATAGAAACACGGTTATCTTGGTGAATGGTGGTGCCAGACTGGCTATCGAATACCTAGTTAGGTACTGAGGTTTTATGGAGCCGGCGTGGGAGAGAAAGGAACCTTCAGACTGAATGAATGAGAAACCAAGAGGCTCCAGGGCTGGCAGAAGAGAATTCCTCCCTTCCCTCCGTCTGCCACAGGGGCTGGCATTTCTCCCAGCTCCGCCATTATGGGGGTGTGGTTGGGGGACCATCTGGTGAGAAGATCCTCCTCCATCACAATGTTCCTTCCTGTGGTCTCAGGGCCAGCTGCAAGCAGACCGGGGCCTCCTGGGGGGCGGAGGGAGGGCCTCTTTTTTCCTTCACAACTTTGCACCCTGGACGCTCATCCCAGTCCTGTCATTGTCACGCAGGACCACAGCCTCTCCAGAGGGGTCTGGCTCAGCATCTGGCTCAGGGTGGGCAATGGGGGAAAGTATGGACATGATTTTATATTTAGACAGTGGGAAAAAAATCCTGTTGTTCTGATACTGCAAGTAAAGTTAAGTCTGTGCCCACATTCTAAGTGCTCTTGGCAGTGAGTAGAGTGAGGGCGAGATGGGGTGCTGATATCTGTGGGATGGAAACTCCTTTGTGGGGGTGGCGGGTGGGGGAGGGGGGAGCTGTCATAGATTCATTTCCCTCTGGTCTGGGCAGAGAATTCCTCAAATGGCCGCACGTGTCACTTGCAGTTGGGGAGCCCCAGTTTCAGGAAGCAGACAACCCAACGAGAGAAACCACCCATCCCTCCAAAAATGAGAACCAGGCCAAAATTCCTGGGAACGTGAAATGTCACTTGGTAGCTGATGCAGGAATAGAAACTGAAATAGATGTTGCGCTCTGCCGGGCCAAGCTGTTTCCTCTAAGTTCCACTCCGGGTCCCAGTTGAGGAGAAAGGGAAATCAACCTCTGAGCAGCTTGGGTGGCGGTCACGCTCTGTCCTTTGCTGGGACATTTCCCCGAGATTGTTCCTCGTCCCTCACTCCTTGCCCCACCCCATGTTCTCATCCCTCTGGGCCGGGGCCACCAGATACGGCCATGCCGACAGCACACCGCCCCCCACTCAGGAGGTTCCCTTTCCATCCGCTGCAGTGCGAGTGGCGCCCCCTAGAGCTGTGCAGGCTTCTGTTAGAACACACCTTGCCGGTGGCTTTGTATTAAGGCTGACACCACCTACCAGGCCACGTGCTCCTGAATGAGTTGTGTCCCTGGCAGCTAGCGTGGCGCCGGCTCCATAGAACCTCCGTACAGACTCCTGGGGATCTTAGAAGCGGTGAATTGGAGAGGAGGGCCAGCCCGCTCTTAGAAGTAATTCTTTGAAATAGGGGCAAAAGCCTCATGAGAGCCCGGACACGTCTGAACTAACCTCAGACTCTTTAAAGAGTAAATATGACACAGTGGTTACAGTCGCTGGCGCTGGGGGCAGAAGGATCTGGATCTGAGTTCCAGCTCCACAGTTCACTGAGCCAGGCTGGGCATGCTCCCACAGCAAGCCTTCCTTTCCGCATCCGGGAGGATCAGCGGAGATGATGCCCCAGCCTGGTGCCTGGTGACTGTCAGTGCATCCCAGTTGCGGTTATGAAGTATGTTGTTATGGCAATTAAGCAACAATCCTGAAAGGCATATTTCAGCTGTCAGTGTTCATATCCCACAAGAAGGAACACACCCAACACATAGTAAGTGCTCAGTTGATGTTTATTGAATGAGAGAGTATTGAACGGAGAGTCAGAAGAGAGAGTTTCTGATCTGCCTCCACTACTGTGACTTCATCGGTCTCAACTGGCTCCTTTTAAAGACGAAAGGTCATTAGACGACCCTCAGGTCTGTCCCTTCTTCAGGACCCCTCCCTTCCAGCAGGGACCAGGGGACCTGCTCCGAATCATTTTTGCAGTGTTCCCTCGGGTCCTGCAGGTGGCGCTGCTGAGTTGAGAAGAAAACCTGTTTTTCAGTAACCGGGTTGCCAGCTGCCAAGTTTGTGTGAACTGCAGACAGGAATTAGGGAAATCACTTACTTGTTGCCGCCAAAAACGCCTAGGGCCGTAAACCACTCATTCCATTTCCTTTCCTGCCTACTTTGCCTCTCCAGGTGCCATGAAAGCACCATGGGTGTGGAGAGGCAGCTGGCCCTGGGTTCCAAGTCCAGTTCCACCACTTCTGGCTGTGACCTTGGGCAAAGGCATGTGTCCTCTGGGGGCCTGGGGTCTCTGCTGCGTCTGCAAAATGAGGGACACAACAGCAGCATGTGAGTGTGTGGACTGCACAGAGCACTGAGAAAAGTAATTAAACAACGTTCACTATTGACAAGCACAGTGCTGGCAGGGTAGGTGTTTAAAAACAGCTCCCTTCCTTTCCCTTCCCCTTTCCTCTCATCCGCTATAGATCATGGTTCGTGTTTGAGAAGAAATGAACAGGGTGTTGAGTGAGTGATGAGGAGGTGGGCCCTGTGAGGAGGACTCTCTGAAGAGAGGCCGTGTCATCTGAGGCAGGAGAGTGAGAAGGACCGTGGTCCCCAAGCCAAAGGGCCAGCAAGTGCAAGAACCCAACTCATCTCACCCAGCCCCACTCTCCCTCCTCCAGCCCTTACCAAAGGACCCACAATACAGCGGCTCTGTCCTCTGAGCCTGCGTCCTCCTTGTTCACGCCTATATGACAGGTGTCTTCTGCTCGTGTTGTGCATTGTATGTTCCAGTCCTGCCTCTCGGAGGACCAGACGAGCATTTTTTCATCCCTGTCTGCCCAGAACCAGGAACCAAAGCCTTAAGGGACAAATGAGCCGACGGAAGTACCACCCAGGGTTTGTGACATCTCTGTGGGCCATCTTTATTTGTAGGCATCCTGACAGTCAGCTGCCACCCATCTTTGTACAGCCACCAGTTGGTGCATAGTGGGTGCTCAGTAAGTGCGTATTCTGTTGAAGTTGAACTGCATTTTCACTGATTGAGCACCTGCTCTATCCAGGCACTGGTGTGAGCACTGGGGCTGCGAAGGAGCGCTTTGGCGGTGTGTTCCTATCCCGTGGCCAACGGCTCTCTGTAGTCTTTCACTTAATCCTCACAAAAACCCAGCGACGCAGGTGCTAGCTCCATTTCACAGATGGAGAAACCGAGGCTCAGGAGAAAAACGTAACACAAGGAGGAGGCAGAGCCAGCCTGAAGGTCAGGCGTCTGGCACTAACGCCCTGGCCATTCACCACTTTGTCACAGACACATGCGTGTGCATGTATGAATAATTCAGGCATGTTCCGTGTGGGGAACTAAGGAATGAGGCGGCAGCTGGAAAGATTTCTCAGAGCATCAGTGTAAGCTGGACGGTGAAGGGCCGGGGGGGAGGGGGGCATTTTCTAGATAGTATTCCATAGTGTAGATGTACCACAGCTTTCTGATCTTCTCATCTACTGGTAGGAACGTGGGCTGTTTCCATATCTTAGCTATTGTAAATTGTGCTGCTATGAACATAGGGGCAATACATTCTTTCTGATTGGTGTTTCAGGTTTCTTAGGATATATTCCTAGAAGTGGGATCCCTAGGTCAAATGGCAGTTCCATATTTAATTTTTTGAGGAAACTCCATACTGTTTTTCCATAATGGCTGCACCGGTCTGCATTCCCACCAGCTGTGCACTAGGGCTCCCTTGTCTCCACATCCTCACCAGCACTTTTGTTGATTTGTTGATGATAGCCATATAAAATGTTAATTTTTAGAGACAATTTTAACAAATAAGGACTTTTAACCTTTTTAGTAGCAGATCTGTGTGACTTGCCTGCTGTTAGGCTGGGCAGCCAAAGCATACACACACCCCAAACACTTCCTCAGCATTCACTAACACTGCTGTGCACCACGCACTTACCCTGGACACATCCATGCTGTGCCTGTCCTGACAGGAGAAGCAGCGGAATAGGGGAGGCTTCAACCTGCCCGGGTTTCAGTCTCCGCTCCGGTACTCACCAGACAGATAACTGTGAGCTAATGATTCCCCCCTCTGTGCCTCTGTTTCCTCATCTGTTAAATGGAAATACTGACAACATATGTTATTCATGGCCATTGTATTAAATAAGTCATCCGTGTAAAGGGCTTATGCAGTCTGGCTGACGGTGAACGCTCAGTAAAGGCTGGCTACCATACGTGTGCACTACCCTCTCGAGTGTGTGTCCATTATTTTTTTAAAAAATATATTTTGTTGATTTTTTACAGAGTGGAAGGGAGAGGGATAGAGAGTTAGAAACATCGATGAGAGAGAAACATTGACCAGCTGCCTCCTGCGCACCCCCCACTGAGGATGTGCCTGCAACCAAGGTACATGCCCTTGACCAGAATCGAACCTGGGACCTTTCAGTCCGCGGGCCGATGCTCTATCCACTGAGCCAAACTGGTTTCGGCAGTGTGTTCATTATTGAGCACCTATTGATACTAAGTGCAGACACTGGGCTGGACGCAGCAGGCTTAGAGATGAATAGGACCATGCCCGCTGCACTATAGTAAGAATGAGACTTACAAAGGAAGTGGTTATAGCAGAGGAAAATGAATGCCATAATAATAACAATCTTCCTCTATGACAAAAGCCTAATATGCCAATTGTTTGACTGGGAGTTCTTCCATTCACTATGACGTGTGCTGACCACCTGGGGTGGCACGGAACATGGTGGGTGTCAGCAATGCAGTGCTGGCAGCAGGCGACAGTGGGGATGCTGCCAGCCCCCTGATGAGAGCGGGACTGTGGAGGGATGGTAGAGCAGGTGAGTGGGTGGCACCAGACCAAGGCAGGTGCGAGCGGGGGCCAGATGGCCCTGTTGATCGCCCTGCAGACAACCAGTGGGGTGGCAGGAGGTGGAGGCACTGCCTGGCTCCCAGGCACTGAGGGAGCTGGAGGGGTTGTGGGGGTAGGCCTGACTGATAGCCCCGCAGGTGGAATAGTGGAGCAGGTGAGGGGGCGGCACCAAGCCACGGCAGGGTGCCAGGCAGGGCTGCAAGCCTGGGTACATTAGCTGGGGCCCCATCCGCACAGGCCACCCCGAGGGACCTCACGCATGCATGAATTCGTGCACCGGGCCTCTAGTAGTAATAAAAAAGAAGTAACACTTGTGGTATGATTCGCAGATGCTAGGCACTGCATAAGGCTGGATTTATCCTCTCCTCCTCACAGAGCTTTAGGGGGACGAATTAGAATTGCCTCTAATTCTCCCCGAGGAAACATAGGGTCCCAGGGAGGGGTGCAGTCGGTGTCTGAATTCAGAGTGGAGGACGCACAGAGCCATGGGGGGCAAGCTCACCCAGCATGGGGAAGGGGGTAGCCACACAGAGGAGGTGGCATTTCAGCTGTGCCTTAAAGGATGCTGAGAGAGAAGGTACCCAGGCAGGGCAAACACTAGAGGTGAGAACGGTGCCGAGAACAGCAAAATGTTGTGCTGGGAGCCGTGTGGGGAAGAGGCCTGAGTGCTGAGTGAGCATTTGGGCTGATCCTGGAGAAGACGGGTTCACTTCGGGCTTCTAAGCAGGGGGATGCTGAGGGAAAGGAAAAGGCCCTCCTCTTCCTCTCCCCCCTCTCTCGGCCCCCGGGAATCTGGGCCAAGGCAGGATCATCAGGCTTCTCATGAACGCGCCCCGTCAGGAGCCTGTCCAGCCTCCATATGGCGCGTAAATAATTTACAGTGACGGGGCGTGTTTGTGTGGGCCTGCCGCCAGCCGCCCGGCTCCTCCAGCCTCAGTGCTTCCTCCCCTCCCGCTCCACCGGCCAGCGGTCCCCGAGGCCCCACAGGAAGGAGCGAGGCCCAGGAGTACCAGACTCCCTCCAGCACACATCCCGGGGGAGGCAGGGATTGCACAGTCCGGGAGGCCGCAGGGCCCCGGGCCCGGTTCCCAGGGAAGTCACGTCCACTTCCAACCCTGGGAAGGCCTGCAGGGCCTTTCCTGTTCTCAGCACTGTTTCCAGAAACAGGCCCGGAGGTTTATGTGGCCGAGGGGACGGGGCGAGGGCTGGGCCCAGACCAGCGAGCTGGGTGGTGACGGCCTGGGAGCGGCCTCCTGCCTTGGCCTGCGGGGCCCAGGCCCAGCTTGGCCGGGACCCTGCTGCCGCCGCCCTTTTCCTGCCCGCACGCAGGTCAAGGTCCCCATGGAAATCTGCTCATGCACAGGTACCATCTCCCCTTCCGAGGCGGAAACTGAATCAGTCCAAATGCAGGCATTAATAAGTACAGCTGTAGGTGTGATTTATAATAAGAAATTGTCTTCATCCCCAGCCCTGGCACAGAGCTCCTGACACTCTTGGAATTTCCTGAGAGATGAGAGAGCAATAAGGTGTCTTTTGTTCGATTAACAGGCAACTTTGGGGAAAACCCCCTTAGTCACCTGAAGAGGGGGGCTGGTTGCCGGGGGAACCAGCGGTGTGATGAGAAGATTCTAACTTTTATCTCCATTCTCTCAGACCGCAGGGAGGCGAATGGGGCCAGAGGTTGAATCTATCGCCAATGGCCAATGAGTTAATCCATCAGGCCTGTGTGCTGAGGCTTCCGTACCCTGCCCCTTACCCCCCAAAAAAGCGGGGGTGGGGAAGACCTTTCAGAGAACTTCTGGGCTGGTGGACCAGGCCCCAAACTCTGTGGGTTCCGACGCTCCTGTGTTCGGGCCTCGCTCTGTGTGTCTTCATCAGGCTGTTGATTTGTATCCTTTAACATCCTTTGTAATAAATTGGTGATCTGGCGAGCACACTGGTTTCCTGAGTTCTGCGAGCTGCTCTGGCAGATTAATCAACCAGAGAAGGGGGTCCTGGGAACTGCGGACCTGTAGGCAGGTTGTCAGACGGAGACTTGCACTTGGGTTGGCTCCTGGAGTCAGGCAGTCCCATGGGATGGAGCCCTCAGCCTGCAGGACCTGACGCTGTCCCCAGAGGGGCATGTCGGAATTTAGTTCAATTGGGGGGCACTCGGATGGTGCTGGAACATCGCTTCATGGTGTTGGAGAGGGGGTGGGGGAACACACATTAGAACTGGAGTCAGAATCCCAGTGGTCAAGTCAAATAATGCCCAAATTTAAAACTGCCCTGTGATCCATACTGAACTTGCATTCAGCTCTGCTGGGACAGGTTCTGTCAGAGGTAGATTTGTGCCTAAACCATGTTGGTGAGATGCTGTTAGTTCCTAGTGGGGATGGAAGCTCGGGAAAAGTTCAGGATGAGCAGAAAGAAGAGTTTGGCTCAAATCTAGGCACACAATGGGGTCACAAAAGTTTGCCTAGATATTTGGATTTCATTAACCCCTTGGAATTCATCAACTGTGAATTCTCTTGTTCAATATACTCACGTATATTGTATAATACTAGCAAGAGGAGGTGCTTAGCACCGGCGTAATGATACACACACACACCTGCACACAAACCCTTCTCATTACTCGTGGTAGCCGTGTTTTACAAAGTGGCCGTGCGCACTGATATGGTGGGCACTGCCCCGTTGTTCCTAGAGGACATAGCGGGTTAGGTTCCTGTGGGCCTCTGGTGGTGAACCTACAAATAAAAGGCCTTTCAGAGCGAGAGGCAACAGGCACTCACCAGAGATGGACAAGAATAACGATTCAGACGTCACTAACTCCGGAAGAAGCCCAAGGAATGTTCTGATGAGGAGGCAAAGGCAAAGGGCATTTATGAGAAGAAGGAGAACAGTCCCATCAATAGGAAGAAGGTGTTTCTATCGGTGCGGACAACATCATCTCGTGGCTGATGCTAAAGAATGCTGTTAACTTCCAGCCCAGTAGCCATAGCCTCTGCTTTCTTGTTCTCCTTGCAAAGAGTTCTTTGGGGCACAAGGTTTCCTTAAGCGCAGTCCAAAGGGTGCTTCACCTGCTTTAATGTTCCAGGGTTCGAGGTATCAGGTGTGCCAGGAAGGTCCTCTGGGATGGCAGTTCTGACTTCATTTTGAAGTGGCTCTGTTTATTCTTTTTCCTTTTTTTTCTTCTCTCTCTC